GTAGTAGGAACTTCCAAGGGGGAAAAAAACCCCAACAACAAAGGTTTTTTTCCTCAAAATATAGTCAAATAGCATGATGAACACAAAACAATCTATGTGTAGGAGACCTTAGAGTACCTGTCCAGGACTCTTGTTTTTGATTCACCCTTCACCCTGGCCACTACTGACGGAAAGCAGAGCAAATTGTGCCCATAAATCCATGTACATAAATGTGCAGATTAAGTGCTTTGCTTGGAGAAACAGATCTGTACAGAATTCAGTACTGCTGAAATGAGTATCTAAAGTCAAAAGGAACTGTGTACCTCAGGTGGCTCATTGTTTAGCAAAGATTAGAAAAAGTATAACAATCTTGTGTTATTTTGCTGTTGACATCTATATTTTGTAGCAATACACATATGAAGACATTGAAATTTAGAACTAGGAAGAACCTCTGGAAGTTGTTGTCTTCCACTTGTAACCTGTTCCACTTCACACATTTATCATTAAGATTTTCCTGGTGTTTACTCTTAATCTTACTCATTGCAACCTAACCTTGTTTTCTGTTCTGCTCCCTGTGGACATGGTTCTTTACCTTTTATGCAGTTAAAGACTCTAGTCGTTGATCTCGCCACTTCCAGTTTTCTTTTCTGTAAGCTAAGTAATCACTATTCTTTTGTCTTTTCTTATAAATCAAATCAACTTTCCTGGTTAGTCTTTCTGGACCTTCCCCATACATTCACTTCATGTGCATTGCCCAAAGTTGAATACAGTATTTCAGCTGTAGTTTTGCTGAATGCTGTGTAGAGGAGGATTATTGACATATGTAGTTTGTCATTCATGCTAAAAGCTGTATCGTTTCCTGGAAATCACTATTACATAATAATTGCTTTCCTTTTTTTTTTTCTTCTTTTTATACTAGTTCTACTGTACTTTTCCATTTCTGCAATTTATCAAGATAATTTTTTCCTGTTCTCAACTCCAGTGTATTTGCATTTACTCTCAACTTTCTATTAGTTGGAAATTTAATAAAGATATTCTCTCTTCCATCATTCATTTCGGTAATGACAATATTGCACAGGTCCGGACCTGTGTGACCTTGGTCAAATCTTTGCTGTGTTTTGACAGTGTTATCAATTGTGCTAGTCACCTACTCACAGTTTACCTTTTAGAGGCATCAGATATGAGCTTTCAAAATCTAACACCAATTGGCAAAATAAATATGAGAATCTAGAAATACTTTAATTTATTGGAGTATGCATCCTCTGAGAAAAGCTCTTAGAAAGAATATTTGAATTGTCATGCAGACTTATTCTTTGGGAAGAGTAAAAGAGATGATTCTCCATAAATCTTTAGTTTACAAGCCTCTTGCTTGCTTAGTTGTACATGTGTATGTAGAAGTGTTGCATTCTTTTATATTATTATTCTATATTTGCAATTAAAACTTTGCTTATTCAATTTCTGCTATTTCTTATAATGCCAGTACTTCTTTCCCAATAGTTTTCTTCCTTTTAGCTGCCTCTTCCCTCATTCAGCTCACTGTGGGAGTTTAATAACTGACCAGAATACTAATTGATTTATTTTCTGTACTTGGAGAGCATAGATCTTTAGTTCTGGATTGAAGGCAGCTTTTACTTTGTTATCTTAAATCTACTAATCTACTGCTGATGTGATCCTGTAAGCTTGGAAGTGTTGCGTTAGAGCCTGAACTGAAGGGTAGAACATAACACTGGAACATCTGAACTCCCTAACTGAGCTGCAATGCCAACTACTGAATTAAGAGCAGAAAAAGTACAACTAAAAATGAATTACAGATAAGAATTGTCTCCTCTAAACTGATTGCTGACTCGATTTCAGATATTTTTGTTTGTATGTCAGTGTTAGTGTAACCTGCATATCACCTTAAAGAAAGGACTAGAAAGAATGGAAAAGAATGAAATAAAAATTTTGCAAAAAGAATGAGATCTATATGTATGGACTATGCAGGCTTGTGCTATGAACTTGAGATCATAGTGTATTTAAAATCATGAAGTATGAGAATAGCAAATGTATATGGAAAAATATTTTCTTGACATAAAGATATTTATTATTTCTATTGTAACAGAAGAATTAATCCACCTATGTTCAGAGCTCTAAAGGTGTGCATTTTTATTATTTTAAGGATATTACAGTGGTTAAGTCCATGAAGAGTCCTCCTGCTGGTGTCAAGCTTGTAATGGAAGCTATATGCATCCTTAAAGGCATCAAAGCAGATAGGATTCCCGATCCAACAGGTTCTGGAAAAAAAATTGAGGATTTCTGGGGTCCTGCTAAGAGACTTCTGGGTGACATAAGATTTCTTCAGTCTCTTCATGAGTATGACAAGGATAACATTCCCCCAGCTTACATGGCTATCATAAGAAAACAGTATCTTACAAATCCTGAGTTTGTACCAGACAAGATTCGAAATGCTTCCATGGCAGCAGAGGGTCTGTGCAAATGGGTCATAGCCATGGAGTTCTATGATACGTAAGTATGTATAAAAATTATAATTAAAAAGGTTAAAATAAATTTGATTAGAGACCAGTTTATTTTATGAAGAGATGTGAAACTACTTCTTACTAGTGGGAAACTTATGCAAACAAGCAGTTGTAAAGATTCATTCATGTAAGATACCTGATGTTAAGGTATAGAGCCTGATTGTCAGTTCTGAATTTTTCTAAGGAGGTATGGGAGCAACAGTCTGTTCAGTTAGTAAATAAGTTAACTTCCTGTTAGTGTTGCACAAAATACAGGCATTATTGAAATGTCTTTGGAAGTTTCTGATAGTCATATCAAGCCCAAAGGATATTTTTTGTTACACATTGTATTTGATTCACAAAAAATAAGCACACTATTCCAGTGTTATTTCTTAATTTGAAACATCTGGAACTCACATTTAACAATAAATCAGCACTGGGCGACTAAGGTCCACTTGCAATTTGGAAGTTGAGTCGTGGTAGGTAGTGCGTGCCTTCGTTTGAGAGGATATTTTGTTACTTGACTAAAAGATTAGTAAATGCATACTTGGGTAGAGTTCTCAATTTGAGAACAACTTTTAACATTACAAGTACCAGTTGTTAGAGAGAAAGTTAACTAAAAAGGGGGACTTTAAAGGAGATCTACAACTTAAACCAGTATGAGAGGGGATTCATTAATTATAAGGCTAATACTTGTGAAATACTGTTTTAGTTGAGGTTAGAGACATTCTAGCATATTTTTTGCTTGTTTTTGGAAAGATAAACAATATGTTTTCAGTTATATGTTACTTCCAATATTCTCCTCACAAAAATATCTGTTGAAAAGATTGAAATCCTCAAAACTGGAAAATAGATCCTTGGTTGTGAAAAGCTGGTTTGGTTTTTTAATTTATTTTATTTTGTGTCACAGTTGGCTGTATGTGTGTCTGTACAGTGTCCGTGAGTCTTACTTAATATATATTCATTATTTGTGTGTTTCTAATGGCACAATTCGATAATGGATTCCAAATTATGATCAAATGGCATACAGTTTGGAAGCATAATACTTTTTCCTTTTAATTGTTACCTCTTATTACAGAAAAAAAATGCAAAAACTGCATAAATCAGTAGCAGGCCAGAAACAAGTGCTTAAGTAAAAACCAGTTATCTTCAGATATCATCAAATTATGAAATGGAATATTGCATGAGCTACTGAGTTGCTGAGGTTTCCCTTAATCTTTCCTGTGTTCATTTTTTTAATAGTAACCCTGGAGTGAAGATGCAACTTTTAGATATTTAATTTATTCTTTGATTTTATTTAGAGTGACAAAAAATGTTGCACCTAAAAAGCTAAAGTTGAATCAAGCTGAAGGAAAATTAAAGATTGCTATGGATGGTTTAAGAAAGAAACAAGCAGACCTGAAGGAGGTTCAAGATAAATTGGCTGTACTCCAACAGACACTGGAATCCAAGAAACAGGAGAAGGCTGACTTGGAAAATCAGGTATACAATGCAAAAGATGAACTATTGTTTTACCAATATCCAGAAAAGTTATTTAAAATTTACTTCTTTGTTAAATGGTATTTTTCCTTTTAACTGCCAATATGTTGAACAAGTCATATTTTTAGATAACTATCTTTTTATTTTGGTGTAATGGTCTTGAAATTATAAATGGGCAAAGCACGGAGAATAAATGCTTTAAAGTAATAGAAAATGTAGGTATTATGAATTTACCAACTGATATCCTTCTCATATCCGCTTTCTTGTGAGGAGATAAATTTTCAGTTGTTGTACTATGAGTTTGATTCATCCACTAACTTGCAAATCGGTACATTTAAAGTTTTGAAAGTTTATTTATCCCTTCTGTGCTAATGCAATTTTGAGAAGGTTTTAGGTAAACTCTGTTCCTGACTGCCAAATAGCTGTTATGTGTGCAGAAATAAGCAATGTTTAGAAGATGGCATTATTTTTTTAAGATTTGCAATACATCATCTTGAGCTTTGTTTACAAAAATAATATCGGATTTTGAAATGGAGTCTTAATTCTTGTCTGTACTTAGTCAGCTCTTTGTGTGTTTCTTCTGCATCCTGATAAGGTTTGGAAGTAGAAGGGAAGGATAAACTATGCAAGCAGTTTGTTACTGTGGTGTAAACTGGCTGCTGTGGTTACCAGAAGAGAGAGAGAGAGGATTGTAACAGCAGCAAGAGTTGGCATCATTTTCTTCCTATCCCGTGCCTGAAATATGTCTCTACTAGTTAGTAAAGTATTCAAACAGAGCTGGATTAAATTTCCATTACATCATATTTTTTTGTTAGATTAGAACCGTGCCTGGAAAGATGGCTTAGTTAAAAACTGACAACAGAAATGCAGATTATGTATCCATAAGGATGTTTTTTGCAGAAAAGAACGTACCTACTTTCATGAGACAGTGATCTCTTTAGGGTGTTTTTGTTTCTCTTGTGACATGTGGATCATTTCCTTAACTATTAATGTTTTCCATATTGCATACAGTGCTATTTTGAATTGCATGTTTTATACTGCTTTTTTTTTGGATGAAAATGTAACTGAATAGACTTTACTGTGCTGGTACTGAGATTGTTTTTGTTCTTTAAATATTTCCATTATAAGAAGAAGGTGTTTTCTTACTATTTGATTAAGTTACTTAAGAAAAAATCAGCACAGGAAAGTAATCCTTGATGCTTTTAATATTTATAAAATATCTTTAAAGTGATCATGTAATATAATCAGCAATTTTTTTTATTCTGAGGTTGACTTATGCAGCAAAAAACTACAGCGAGCAGAACAATTGATTGGTGGCCTTGGGGGTGAGAAAACTCGCTGGCATGAGACTGCTTTGGAGCTGGGAAGGCAGTACATCAATTTGACTGGAGATATACTTATTTCGTCAGGAATTGTAGCTTACCTAGGAGCCTTTACATCCAGCTACAGACAAGTAATGTTTACAGTGATTTTGTCCCCATGTTTTGCAATAATCTAAATTTTATTAATTTTTCTTCTAATATAAAGTTTGTATTTTTAAATTATGTTTTAATAGACTTCATAAGTGGAACTCAAATTGTATTGTAGGATTTTGAGTTTTGTTCAGAAGAGTCTTGGGGGAAATTCTTCCTTTGTTCTACTGTAAAGTACTTATTTCTGTGTAAAGCATGGAGTCCTTTTGTTGCTTTGCTTCTTTAAAGTAATTGCCATAACTTTATACCTCATGGCTCTGGTTATTGCTATTCAATTAAATGGCTAAATTCTCCTTAGCTTCAAAGAAAACAGAATTAGCTTCTATTTCAGCATCAGCACAATTAAGCAAGTTCTGAAAGTAGAGTAATTCTGTACGAAAAGAGATAAAAGACACAGTAGCTCAATAAATATATAAATATTTATAGCATAAATAAATAGCCAGCGGTTTTACAATTCCAAATAACAGAATTTTGACAGTGTTCTCTTTTATGCTTATAACCTGCGTTGTGTATAATATTGTGCCTGGGTAGGTAGGAGTACTTTTGGTGAAATATATTAAGGGGTGCTGAACTGTATTCTGGGCAAATGTAGATGCAGATGATATTCATAAAAGGCAGAGACATGTGCATGATTATTCACTAGAAATGAATATGTAGCCATTTAATCTGAAGAGTTTAGTGTAATGTAATTCTCTCTGACTGCAGTTTCTTTCTCTGTGCAACAGTAGGTATGGATTCCTGGTTGCTTATTCTTACTCTCATGATAGTGCAGATGCGTATTAGTTAGGTATCTCTTTCAGAAATTGTTGGATAGCATAATCACTTTTGTGCAGTTCTTCATTTCATCTGCTGCTATATTTCGTTTTGGTGGGTTTTGGGTTTTTTTTCTCTGCAGTTTTCATAAGAGAAAAAGTTACAATATCTTTTGGAATGAAACTTTGTTTTATGCAAATTGATGAATCCTTCATTCACCATCTCTGTGAATGGGTCTAGCCCTTAGACCATTTCCTTTAACACTGCATTTCTGAGTTCGGTTGCTTGAGGCTTTGCCAGCTAATTTTTAGTTTGGAATACTACACCATATTTCTTTGACCTTATATATAGCTTTCATATAAGATTGTGCCTTTCATATGAACATGCTATTTCTATACATTTTCCATCTTTAGAAGGATTTTTCCTAGTGGAAAATGCTTTTTTGTTTGCATGTTTAAAAGTGTCTTCATTATTATTATTGATTGTGCCATGCAAACATGTATAGTTTACACAACTGTTGTGAGTTAGATGATACAGGGAACAGTGAAAAGCGACTCTAAATGATTGTTAAATTGTTAAGTTTGGTTAAGTCCAGAAAAGTGCTCATTATGTGTGTCCTGAGAGTTAAATAATGAAGATTTTAATTTTTTTAGTTAGAATATGTGCATTCGTTCTACACTCATTTTATAGTATAGAAGACTACTGCTAAAATGGTAAATAAAAACATAACAAGGCTCTGACCAGATAAACTTCTATTGCGTATATAGAAATCACATATAGATACATTTTTAGAGACATTTTTAGACATTATATACCGAAGGATGAGTTTCTTTCCATTTGAAGATAGGGTTTTCTTCTATGTAGCAACTGTTAAGGGGAAATGGGTTGAAAAATACATTTCTAATAGTTTGAAAATTTTGTGAATATAACTATTTGTTAATATTTGTTTTCTTCTTATCTAGATGCAAACCAAAGAATGGGTATTGCTATGTAAAACAAAAAACATTCCTTGTTCTGATGATTTTTCCTTAATAAATACCCTGGGAGAACCAGTGGAGATCAGAGCTTGGAATATTGCTGGACTACCTTCTGACATGTTTTCTGTTGATAATGGCATCATTATCTCGTAAGTACAAAAAAAAAAAAAAAAAAAAAAAATTACAATGAATAATTTGCATTAAATAGCTTCTTACAACATGCTTTTCAATTGTTATTTTTATAGACAGTTTTCTATTGTATATAAAGTTTAACAACCAGAATTATAAAATGACTGTAATGTTTAAATTTATAAGAAATACTAATAGTACTTTTTTTTTTTAAGTAATTCTCCTTTAAAAAGCTAAAGCTCTTGAATTTTAAAGAAATATGCTGCCATCAGTTGCTACCAAGAGGTGTTTCTGCAGAGGTAGATTATTTTGCTAATCTTTCTCTGAAGGTCACACGCTTTTCCCCTAAGATGGCACTGGAGATACTATAGATAATGTCTTGATTTCTTCTCTGTAAACAGTTTCAGAGTTTATGTTGCCAACTGGTAGGAGACTAACATCCAGACTTGTAACATATTTAGTGTTTAAATCCCTGACGTTTTGGAAGTGTTGATTTGTACACTGATGAGCTGAATTTTTATTTTGCTAGGGCACAGTAACAAAACCACAAAAAAAGCATATGTATATCTTCTAGGCAGTAAGGGAGGTGCAAAAAGTTGGAATGGAGAGAATTTCTAGTCTCCTTTCTTACAGAGGATGATCCCAACCATATGCTCTTGCCAGTTTCTTCCTCTGTTTCTTTCCTTTTATTCTATGTGCTACTAAACTGCTTCAACAAGAAAAGGTGAGATAGCCCTTTCCTGCAATAATCTCTGGTTTCAGAAAGGTGTGATTTCACATCACTTCAGGCAGTTGGGAGTTAGATATTTGATGAAAGGTGAAAAGGTGAATCTGTACTGACCATGTGGAGTCTGTTTTCTTTAGGGCCTCATTCTAACTATCAATATTTCATACAGACTAGTCATTCCTAGGATCCCTTCTGGAGCAGAACCACCTGGCATATTCCTAGACAAAAGCTAAGAAAGCTTTGTTTTTTGGATCAGTGTAGGGACCTCTTTAGTATGCATTATGAATGGGGCACCACAAAGTCATCTTTGCACCTAGTCCAGTCCCCAAAGAACTTTAAAAAAATATTAAAATATGAATTCATAGCAGAAATTTGATTATATCTTTGGAGCATTGGAATTTACTGAATAGTTAAAAGCTTGGCAGTTGCAATTGTAGCTTCCAATTGTAATGCATTTGAAGAAAGTTCTGATAAGGCAAAAAAATTATTTTTCAATTTGAAATCCCCTTTTTGTTTTTAATTTTTCCCTCTTGTAATTATCTTAAGATACATCCAAATAAAGTACTTTGACTTTATCTAACAAAACATTTTAAAAATTCTGCATATTTAAAGATACTCTCTTTCTTATTTGGAAAGTGAAATGAATTCTGAAATCTCAGATTCCCTCATAGAAAGAAAATAGGGATCCCATGAATTCTAAATCTAATATTATTGCCTTTCACTTTTAAGATGATTCTGCATTCTTGTGTGGTGTTCCAATACATGCACATGTATGTCTCACAGTCCATAGACTTTTGTCTGGGCAGAGTTCATCTGGTATACGTCAATGTCACAATCAGTGCAATCATCAGTGATTTGTATGACAATGTATAGCATGGGAACTGGCCATGTTAATGTTTTAACATCTAGAAATATCTACAGCTCACTAGTGATTAGCTTTAGATTAATGTGCCTACTGATGACTGAGATACATACAGCACTGATGGTTTTGGTAAATACAGAGCTGGATACTTACAATAGGCTAAGCTTTGTGACCTTGCATAAGCAGTTAGGATTTTCATTTGGACTTGTGTTTGTTATGACTGTAAACAAAGAACCTCTCAGTTCTGTCCAGTATGCTTGCTAATGCATTGCTACTGACTTTTAGCTTTTAGGTTTTGTTCTTAGCACAGCTGAAGCTGAATTGACCATGGAACAATGTTGCTTTAACTGCTTTTCTGTTTGCAATTGCTACCCATTTACTTCGTGTCTGGTTCTCTTTCTGTATAATGAATAATTATTGTAATTCTTTTCTATAGCCAGGTTAATGGTTGTCAAGTCTATGATAACATGTACCTAACATTTATGCATCTCTTTTACAGTATGCTACTGCTGAAAGTTATTAATATAAAGCTTTAATTTTTGCTACTCTTTACATGAAAATTTTTCTCACTGTTTGAGGAGTCAAACGTTGTATAGCACTGGTGGATGAATACTCTTTTACTGTAGAGTGAATCTTAGGTTTTCGCACAGAACTGAAATTGTATATTATAGGGTTAACCTTTGGAAGCATAGATGTGTGGATAATACTTCAGATTTGGCACCTGGATAGGTGAACAAAGTGAAAAATAAAACAGATAAGACAAAAATAATGCACAAGCTCAAGAACATCAACATATTTTTATTTGACATCTGGAAGCAAAATATTGAAGTTAGAGGATATATGCTGGGATTATGATTGTATATGTACCTTTTAAAGTAATTACTGTATTAATAATTCCATCACTCAGGCTAAACAGTTGACAAATGTTAATGAATTCAACACTTCTACAGTACATCCTAACACTTCACTTTTATAAAGCTTTGATCAAAATTCTCTTTGAACTAATGGAAAGATGATTAGCATTTTAAAACTAAATAATGATAGCTTTTAATTCTGAAGTGTGAGATAGAATCTACCTCAAACTGATGATACATATTTTACCTGTAGTTATGAGTTTATTGCTAGATGTATTTTATATTAGGACCCTAGGAACCATGTAAAATGCAACTCAAGCTTTTTATCAAATTTTTTAGAAAGCAGAATTAGAGAGCTATTTAAGGATAATTTGCAAACATACACAGTGACTGCTTATGCATTCCCATCAATGAAGACGGATTTTATCATTGATGAAAGCTACGTGTGTCTGGCTGTTATAAGAGAAGCACTCTTTAGTTATTCAGTCTTAAGTATTTCATGTCTGTTATGCAGTGCATCTGAAATGGGATACGCTGAAAATAATATGTGAAAATAATATGTGAATGAAACTTTGAAGTATTTAGTAATGTAATTAGTAAAAATGTAATTCAAAATTACACTTTGAATCCATTGGTGAACACTGTTAGTGAGATTGTCTTCTAATACTGCTGATGCTACTGCCTCATCTGACAGATGTTCAGATTTCAAATCCTCTGTTTGCTTCTCTAGACTTACTGTGTTACCTAATTTGTCCTTATCTCTGATTATCAAATTATTCAGAATAACTTGTAACTTTACAAAGCCCACATTTTAACTTTCTTAGCGTCTGCTTAGATATCACACTGTCCTGGTGGATTACAAATGCATTTCCACCTGTGAAAGCTTTCTCCCTTCCCAGGTAGGCTGGACAAGGTCCCTTCTAGATGAACTGTTTTCCTAAATCATTCTACAAGGGGGAAGAAAGCCATCCTTCTTCAGCTGGGGAATGGTCACTCCCCAGTTCAATTTATGATCCATAACACAGAAGGAATCTTTGTAGCATCCCATGTATAATCTCAGGCTGCTGCCACACATGGTACATTTGTCTTCCAAAACTTTTACTCCTAAACTTCTGCTGTCTTGCTTCCACAATCTCAGTTTTCAGACCAAAGAACCTAAGGTGCTTGTGCTCTCTACCTCCATATATATTTCTTCTTCTAAGGGATCACATTTATTTGGGCACATTTTACTGTGCAGAGATTCTGCAAGCAGGATCAGTCATGATTTCTGAGTACAAACTTATTTTGTCACGAATACACATATGTGATAGTTAGGACTAACACTACTAAGCTAAACATCAGTTTGCTCATAACTGCATCAAGAACACTTTATAAGTTTGTGCTAGCCAGAAGGCTGGCACTGAGCGGGGAAATGTTGGCCTCCTTTGCATCTTGGAAAGCACTGATTTTTGATCGCGCTGGCTGCCAGATCTGACATCAGTTGCAAAAAAACCCTGAAACCAGTGTCTGCTTTTTTCTTCTTTCCCAAGTTCTATAACTTCTTGTGAGTTACTATTCACAAGCAACCAACTTCCCTTTCAGCTTTGTTTTTGCTTTTTATATGTTACATAGTTTTGCTTATCTAGTCTCTCTCAGCTTAAAAAAATTTTTTTTTTCAGTAATAATAATCCAGAGTGACACAGCTGTGCTTCACAGCACTGCATCTGAGTCACAGATAGCTGAACCCCTTGGATTAAGAGTTACATGCATGTTATTGCATGTTGTTATATTTACACATGTATAAATAGGCCTTACAACTACACTTAGTCCTTAATAAGAAGTTTGTGGAATAGGGATTGTTACAGAATATAAAGGATTTTTCTCTCTTAAACCAGGCTTTACCTGTTTTAAAATTACTCTCTTTTCCCTTCAGCAATGCAAGAAGATGGCCTCTGATGGTAGATCCTCAGGGTCAAGCAAATAAATGGATAAAGAACATGGAAAAAGCCAATAGTTTGCATATAATCAAACTCAGCGACCCTCAATTTGTTACAACACTGGAAAATTGCATTCAGTTTGGCAGTCCTGGTAAGTTAATGACTAATGAAAGTGTAAATTACAGAAGAGCCTGGAGGGGGCACAATTAGCTAAAAAATGAAACCTTAGTGAGTGTCAAATGTTCTCATAGTTAAGGAAAACAGAAATTTTTTTTCTTGTTTGAATCAAATTAGTACTATAGTAATTGAGGTCTTCACCCCAGGTTGTAAGATACTTCTTAGCATAATATAATTATTATGCTCAGTTTACTTTGTATCTTTTAATTGCTTTATGAGATTTTCAATTTATTTGTTTTCATGTTACAATAATTTTATTTCTAAAAAGTAATGTTGTTTTTATTTGGCTTTTCAGGAGTATAAATACCAAATTGCTAGGCTGTGATCATTAATGATTCTTGTATTCTCTGTAGTATCGTTATTGCAAGTAGTCTAATTACCCTCAAATAGAAAGAAATTAATGAAACACATAGTTACAACTCCAGCTATTTTTCAATGTCTAACTGGACTACAAGTAAAGAAATGGTTTGTTTATTCTTCATTATTTCTTTCTTGATTTTGACAATCTCATATGCTTACAGTAAAGACTGAAGCAGACTTGGTTACCCAAAATGATTTCTGTGGCATGTGGCATTTAATTTGTTGTTATTTCCCTTTTTAAAAATTGTAGCCTTAAACTGCTGTTCTAAGCTAATGGCAACAGTAATACTGACAGCATTTTAGTTGCTTTTTTGCAAATTGATATAGTATTAGAAAAAGAAATTAAAGGTACCATTTCTTTGATTCATTTTTCAATCATTAACCTTATCTCTATATATTGCTATTAATATTTTTATTGTTTGCACACTGTAAATACACATTATGCATATGTATTGTAAAGAACAGTCAATCAGTAATATAAATGTGAAGAAAGTCCTACTAATTCTTATGTTATTTTGAAGTGCTACTGGAGAATATTGGAGAAGAACTTGATCCTATCCTAGAGCCGCTTTTGCTCAGACAGACATTTAAGCAGTCAGGGACTATGTGCATTTGCCTTGGAGACTCCACTATTGAGTATGCTCCTGAATTCCGCTTTTATATTACAACTAAGCTGAGAAATCCACATTATCTTCCTGAAACATCTGTTAAGGTGAGAATTTTGAAAGTGAATGTGCAACTCTTTTAAAATGATTCCTTGGCTAAAACCAGGGAAGAATTTCTGGCATTTGTTTATTCCTTGTCCCCTGCCAACACTGGTTTTGGTGGTGGGGTTTTTTTTGTTTTGTATTTTTAGATTGCTGGAAGACTGGTATCATCTTAGAATTTTTTACTTTTTTCATATCTAACACTTCACCTTGTGATACTGTCATTCTTTCATACTGTCAGGAATTTATTTCTTTAATTATTTTTTCAAGTTTCCCAGTTTGTATCTCCTGATGATATTTAGTCACCTTTTAATATAAAAATATTTACAAGGACTTAATATAATAGTCACCTCACATGCAAATTCTACATTAGGCTTTCATATTCACGATTGTTATCTGTAGTATAGTTAGGGACAGGAGTCTGAGCAATTACTGGCACTGTGCCTTGTTTATAACAAATCGAAAATATTTACAGATGTATATATTTGATAACTATAGCTATTCCTATTTTTCTAAGTTAGGACGAAAAAAGGTGGTTTCCTGCTTTAATGAATAAAATTGGTGTATTAGTCTTTTTGAAGTTGCTTAGGAGATGTATTCCCCCTTTTATTTATTATTATTTTTAAGAATATTATTTTATAGAAAAGTACTGCAATTTTACACTTTGGTTAAACATAGACTATACTGAAATGCAAAACATTGCAAAAAAAATTTTAAACTATTAAGATATTCAGTAAAATAGAAATATAAGCTGTTTCATGAAGGAGTACTGATGCAGGAAAAATGGACAAAAAATAATGAAAAGGAATAATTTCAGTTCATTTCAATGCACATCAAATCACCTAGACATTGACCTTTTATCAAAGAAGGTAATTAGCTGCATGTTCAGAAAAAAGATGAAATATGAAAGGAAGATAACATCTAAAAGATTTACTCCTAGAGTAAAGCTGTACAGAGGCTATTTTCTAGGAAAAGTTTTTTGTTTAAAGACAGTTAAAATCTCCTAGTCGCCAATCAAGAGTCAATACAGTCGTCTTATTTCCCCCAGAAAATAAAGTTTCTAAAGATGAATCTTCTCTAGTTGAGTTCCATGCAGTCAGACTTAAGTTGTTAATTGCTCTAACAAGGAGTAGTTGCTTCTTGACATGGTTGGGTATACTCCCAGCTACCCCACACACTGCTGAGCTAGCTGACTAGGGTGGCTTATGCATAGGGACCAGGAGGCAGAAAAGTACTATCTAAATATTTTGGTCTGAAGCTAATTGCAACATCCATTGGAAAATCTGTCCCGAGGATTATTTAGGAGCTAGCTAATGAAATGAGTCCAGGGAAAATGGCTATTGATATGGTGATCATATTTCACAGATTGTACAGAATTCTGATGTGACTTACAAAGTAAAGCCTGCAAAGAGACATAGGTCGTAGATTTACACTATATAGATATGCATTTGCATTTAGAGTAGCTTTTTTCCTGTTTCTAACATCATTAATTAAATATAGTGAAATCCACTAAAAAATCAGATAATTTTCAGCACTGCCAAGGTAAAGGTGAGTTATTCATGTCCATAAAAATTATCATTCTGTCCCTCAGGGACCAAGGGGAAATGTAGAATGTAGACAGCATTTTGCGCTTAGACCACAGTGGTTCCAATGTCTGAACCAGCCTGAGCATGGCACCTCTGACTGAAAGCTAACTCATAATGCTCTTTGTAGCTAGCCTTTTGCTTTGAAGAAGGGAAATGGATCCTATAGAAGACTCTTGAAGCTTTGAAACATTAGGGTCCCTCCTATGTTTCCCATTATTAAAATTGTTAAATAAGGTGAGGAAGAAAGAGACCATGATGCTTGTGAAGATCTTAGTGATTCTTAGTGTCATCTAGAACTGATCTTCCTCTCAAACTTCCTGTGTGCAAGAACAGTGTGATACTATCTGTGCTCCTATTTTTTTTTTTTTTGTTCAGATGAGGCTTACTGTAACAAAAAACTATTAGTGATGTATTTTAAGAAAGTTAAAATACCACCCCTCCTAACTTTACAAGCAAAACTCATGAAAAAAGCCTCAAATATTTAGACAACTTTGAGATATTATTAGTGGCAGAAGCAGATCAAGACAAATTAACTTCACAGGTATTCCATATTCTAAAAGGGAAATGTTCTTTTGAAACACAAGTCAATGGTATCTGTACCCACCAAAAAAGCCCAAAGAGAATCTGTAGTCATTATATTGCCTAGTCAATTAATTAAAACTAATACTTTCATCAGTCTTGATGATTGATAAGTAAATTATTTTCTTGGTATTGAACTACATGAATCAAACTATTTATTAGCCTTCCAGTGGTAGTGTATTCCTTCCCTTTCTCATGTAAAATATTTACATTCTCATGTAAAACATTTTTGCCACTTCTTCAGCAAGAGCATGTAGGTTTTTCTGGATCCATTATAGACATGTTGTAGGATGGGAATTCTTTTAAACAATTTTTTTCCAGTTGTTTATTTTTCTCATGAAAAGGAGAACATGATGCTATCCTAATTCTAGGATACAAATATCCCTGTAACAATAACACCACAAATTGCATGTGACCAAGGCCACTGAAGGGAGAAAACATATGTGGCAGAGGTAACAGTGTTCATTCATGTTGTAAGGACCAATCACTTGAAGCACTGATATTCAAAGTTTCAGTGTAATTTTGAGGAACAGAATGAAATTCTGTACATTCTTGTCACATCCCTTTTAAGGTTAACTTTCTGGGTTAATCCTGGAGTTAGCTTTCTGACATACAATCTTAAACCCTCAGCTGCAATACATTTGCTCTCAAAGTGTGATTGAGCATATTACATGATATTATACAAACCTTGTCTTGTAAATGAAGAAGCATTTTAATTGTATCTGCCCATAATTGTGCTATCTTTCAAAAAATATTTCTTCTAACAGGTAACATTATTGAACTTCATGATAACTTCAGAAGGAATGCAGGATCAGCTGCTTGGAATTGTAGTTGCAAGAGAAAGGCCAGATCTTGAAGAAGAAAAACAAGCCCTCATCCTTCAAGGGGCTGAGAATAAAAGGTATCAAGATAACTTCCCGTGCTAGGGATACAAGCAGATTGCAGTTTAAGGAAATACACTCATGGGAAATACATTTCAGAGCCTTTTTTTTGTTGTTTGATTTAACAGGAAATTCAAGACTGCTATTTTGAGAGCCCAAGCTTAGGCTTCTGTTTGGTTTTTTTAGGCTGATTTGGATGCATGCTTTTACTCATATTCCTAGTGGTTGTGCCTTTGTACTTCTGATATGGTTTCCTATTTCTGGGATTATTAGAAAATGTTAAAGACCTGAATTGTGGGTTGTGTAATTGCCAAATATAATTCTTGAACCTGTCCTCTGTTTTTATGCATCCCTTCCGTGATGTTGGTATATGATTTACCGTCCTCACAAACTTTGACTAGATATTGATGGTTCTGGTTTAGAAATGTTTTCTTTCTGTGCTAGATTTGCACTGATTGTACATGACAAAGAGCATCTTTCCCCATGAGTCAAAGCATGGAATGTGCAGTATTCAAAGTGGTTTGTCACTTCCTTCCATTGCTGTCCATTTTTAGCCTGAAAGTGGCTAAATTTTTCAGAAATTTAAGGGACTGTTTAATAAGAAAAAAAGTTTTTGTTATTTAAGCTGAATACCATGAATAGAATTGACACTTTGTCTTATTTTATAGAAACTAACAGAAAACAGCTGTAATTTTCACATGTGAAAAATCTTGTATATTATTTTAGGCAGCTAAAAGAAATAGAAGACAAGATTTTAGAAGTTCTTTCAGCCTCAGAAGGAAATATTTTGGAGGATGAAACTGCTATTAAGATATTGTCTTCTTCCAAAGTTCTGGCTAATGACATTTCTGAAAAGCAAGCTGTAGCTGAAGAGACAGAAAAGAAGATTGATGCTACTCGTATGGGCTATCGTCCTATAGCTATCCATTCGTCGATCTTGTTTTTTTCTATTGCTGATCTAGCCAACATTGAGCCAATGTACCAGTATTCACTCATGTGGTTTATTAACCTTTTCATCATGTCTATAGATAATTCAGAGCAATCAGAAGTTTTACAAACAAGGTAAGAGTGATAATTCACCATTTGTAATTGGTGATGTATTCATAGTTACTCCAGAAATGTTACTGTCATTTCTCCAAAGTGTACTGTCTCAGGCATTGCATTTTGAAATATTTTTTGTGTATATATATATGTCAGATATTTTCCTGGAAAATAATTTATTCATAGGGGAAAAAAAAGGTACTATATATTACAAGTGCAACACATTCCGTTATTTCTGTTTAGTAATTGCTACCTCAGGTGGTGTGTGAAATTACAAATTATCAGTTAGATAAACATGGTCCACTTGCTTTGATTTTTATATTTCATGTAGTGACTTTGTATGTCTTCAAGAAATGGACAAAAAAATTTTTCATGCAACTGGTGAGAGAGAATGAAGTCTTGTGACTGGGGCTTATGGCTGTAGAGTGTGCAAGGCAGTTATTAACCCAATGATTTTTTAAATTCAGCGTGATTATTGTTTTATACTTAAGGTGTCCCTCCCTCTTCCAGCTTGTTCACGAGAACAGGAGAAACTGCAATCTTTAATGATCTGAATTTATTTTACATGTGATGGACCTCACTTATGATCGCATTAGGATTATTCAAAATATACCCTTGAAGTGAATTATCTACACAGAGATTGTTTAAAGAGTTTTTCAGTGTTCTATCACATCAGTTACTAAAGTCTACTTCAGTAGGTTTATTTGATCTTCAAATCATAGAGCATTGTTCTGTTACTTAGCTACTTGCCTGTTCATCAAATGAACAAAGGATGGGAGAGGGAAACTACTCTCCTAATTTCTATATAGAAAATTTTTCTACTTAAAATATTAAGACTTTAAATCTTACTCTCTTATATCTCAAAACTCTCCTGTATGCCTGTTTGTCTAAATTAAAGTAAGCAATAAATAAAATAATCTCATTTTGATTCAGAACTTTTCTGTCAGCAGAAATATAAAGATACAGGACCTGAATCCCAGCTGATAGTATATATTTCCAGGGAATGGCTGGTGTAAATCCATTTTGATAATTTTGCCTAGTGAAGGCAGAGGAAGACAGAGTCACAGAAAATTCTCTGTGAATTAATAATTCACATAAGACTGTTTGTTTTGGGCTATCTTCACTAGTCAGACATTTTTTACTACAAGGCTCTGTGCTGAATTTTTTTAAATTATTCTTTTCTCATGCAAGCCATGTTAATTCTGTAACTTGAACAGTTTACATTTTCTCCCATGGGCCGTCAGTATTTTGTGTATAAATTGTATGTATATCAGTTTAACTGATGAGGAATCAGTAGTTTTGAAAGGATTTAAAATGCTAGTAAAAAACTAGGAGCATTAATATATTACAGTAATATTAAAAATGGTCAATTTCATCTTAGCTGAATGGAAAAAAACAAAACCAGATTGAAACACAAGACTGGAAAAGAGACACAGATCAAACAACATAGCTTGCTCTTGATCCGCTGTCATTAGCTTTCCACTTCTCAATTATATTAGATCAGCCTTAGGCTTCTGAATGATCACCATATCTGAACTGCAGGAATACCCTCCAAGTAGCTCCCTGCCAAGGGATTGGTGAACTAGGTAGTTGGAAAAAAAGCCATAGCACCTCTCCTAATCTTTGTTACTACCTTGGAAGAAGTATTTGAAGTAGTTGTGCAAATTCAGACACTGCATTTTTAACCACCCAAATGGACTTTCTGTATTTTGACTAGGTGTTCAAGGTATTCAAACTTAAACTTTATAAACCAATACATGGCTTCCTTGCTTTGTATTTAAAAGAAATTACTGATAATAAATCACATAGTTTTAAATTATAATGTATTAAGGAAAACGTAGAATGGAAAATACATTTCAGATAACCTTAGAAGATGGACTGTTTTGATTTTGGCCCTCGTATTTATTTTCATAATGAATTTTAAAATTGCTGCTCTCTTTTGCCCCTCTCGCTTCCTCTGAAAATCATGTGTTACTAAGATGTAATTGTACTTCAATGTTTTTTATGTTGTTTTGCGCATAAAATGGTGCACGCATTTAATGATTGCTTTGGGATAATTGACCAGAGAGTTCATTAGAACAAAGAAGATCTAAATGGTTTGTAATAGGTTTCTAGAGTGCATACTCTTTAGAGTGATATTAATGGAAAATTGTTCTTCTTCTGACACCTGTAGGTTGAAGATTCTCAAGGATCATTTTACTTACTCACTTTATGTCAATGTCTGTCGCTCCCTCTTTGAAAAGGACAAGCTGCTCTTCTCTTTTTGTCTAACTGTGAATCTCCTGAAAAATGAAAGATTGGTAAGTAATTAAAAATAATTTGCACTTTGATATGATATATATTAAACTGCATATGCAAACTATCAGTAGTAGGAACATACAGGGTAAGAATAGAGAAGTAAGTTAATATATAATTATATTACTTAAGCCTCAATTTTGTGGTGTTTTGTTTTCATTTTAATAAGCAATTATAAGCATTGAAAAAGATTCTCTAGAATAAAATAAATATATAACAAACAGGTCTGACAAAACCAAGCTAGATGATAACAGTTTTTCTAAACATTACTTAAACCAAATCCCAGCCTGTTTTTTCTTACAGTGAACACTTTGCAAAATTTTACTGTAAAGTATTCTGAGTTCTAAGAGCATATCAAAATGAATTGTAATATTGATTTAGGAAACTACTTGTCTCTTTCACTTAAGGTGCTAAATGTGTTTTATTTTTTAATAGAATTCCTCAAAATCAAACACCTGTACCAACTGAATTCTATTAATTTCTAGTAATTCTTTACAAAATATTTTTTTACAGGATTTTTTAAATTCATAATGAAATCCATTCATTTTTACCATATCATCTACAAAACAGTGTTTATGGTTGCTTGGAGTTGTTTCTTTTAGTGTAATATGGAAACATTTAAAACTTTAGAAACTTTTGAAATTATTATATGGGGGAACACACAGAAGTGAATTCTTTCAAGAGCTGACAGCAATAATCATGGTACACCATTCTCCCATTCACAGGGACTTCAATGTACAAATTCAAGCCATCAAAGAAATTTTGAGATAAAGGAGTATTGAGAAAGGAATGAGACATGTAATAGGCTGATATTTCTTTTTCATAGTGTAGACTTGCATTATAGGAAAAGGTTGCAAAATGCATGGCTCCCTGAAACATTTCCAATATTTTTTTCCTTCAACATTTTGGAATTTGAAGAATGGGTCTAAAAATCTAATCAGTTAACATTGTTCATTCCCCAAGTTAGGAATGCAGATGAATCTTTAATTTGGCTCATCTCTTACACTTTTTGATTCCTTAAATTCATGTTTAACTGAAAACCAGACACTGAATACTTTGGAAATAAGCTTTTAGTAGTTGTATAGAAGCATTTTCACCTGGTGCAAGAATTCAGATAAATGTAATGATTTCCTGGATAATGTATTAAACCCATAAGATTTTATTTATTTAGTCCTGAGAGCAGTGTTTTTCTTTGTAGATTACTGAGAATGAGTGGAAATTTCTGTTGACTGGAGGCATAGGTTTGGACAATCCCTTTCCTAATCCATGTACCTGGCTTCCTCCAAAATCATGGGATGAAATTTGTCGACTGGAAGATTTGCCAAGCTTCACAAACATTAGTAAGGATTTTACACAACTGAAGGATGAATGGAAATTGGTATATGACAGCTTGGTATGTTAACATTCCTGATTGTTTGCATTCTTAAGCTGATTAACACACTGAAAATATTTATTCAGGGAAAAGAAAGTGCTGTCATTTTACATGGTCTTACATATATGAATGTAAATATTTAAACAAATGGTGCATAGTTGTAGATTATTGCCAATTTGTCAGGTGGCTTCTGAATAGCATTTGGATGGAAAAAAGGCAACAAGACCTGGAGTGGTAAGGTGATAGTGAAATTTGCTAAACTTAAGGCAGCTAGTGTCCCTTGTCAGTCTACACATTTCTTTACTATGCTTTGAGGATGCTTTTTCATGTTGATTTCCTGGATAAGTGTGAAATATCAGATATTGCTATGTAGAGAAACTAGAATGGGATTACAGGAATGGGATTCCTGTAATTCCCAGTTCTTTCAGTGACCTGATATATGCATGAATGACTGACTTTGTCTTTATCTAACTTCATCACTGTTTTCTTAAAATCTAAGTTCTTCAGATGAATTTTACTCCACATGTGGGCACTTGCTTAATCTTTAATCTTACTATAACACCTTTTATTTTATCATGCTCCCCCCTTCTGCTTCTTGATATGCAAAGTGCTTATCATACACTTACCATCTGAACAAACAATTAAAAACATTATCCTTCTTTCCTACTTGGACTATATCTGACCATGACCACTTCCATGCTCAGATAATACTGTCCATTTGTGCCAGTCCATTGAACCACTTTTGTCACTGTTAACTGATGAAAACTTATCACCAATATTCAGTCAAATAACCCAAGACAACTTACACCAATTTAAAACACATTGTGTGTTTTATTCATTTTAAGTGTCAAGGATTTAGAAATCCTTTCTATTTAAAAAAATGGTCTCAAAGTATACAGAGAGAAAAAGAATGGATTTTGGTTGGAAATGCTCGTAAATATATGATGAGAGATATTCAAGAAACTAAGCAGCTGCAGCTCCTCCAGTTGTCCAAATTGCAGGAAGCAGGCAAACAGCTGAGTTAAAGCTTTCCTTGGGCATTTACAAAAAGACACAGCAAGTTGGTTGAGGGCTTTAGTTCTTTGGGAAATAGTTGCTTGGAAAATGAACAAAGAAATGATGGCATTTGAAAAAGGGATTGAGGGAGTGAACTACTTCGTTATGCACTTTGGGATTATACCTTTTAAAGCAATGCCTAATAAAAATGAAAGGTGCTGACTTTCAGAAGTAAAGATTCAAGATGTGTGTGATAGCTATGTGTGCATTCACACACTGAAACTGAAATAAATAGAAATTCCTTCATTTAAGTAGCATTCAATAAAATGAGATCTATAGAATCAGGTCATCAGTTAACTGATTAATAAAGAGTAGCACTGAAGCTAGGAACATCCAGTTACTGAACCTTGAGTGCTAGATCAAAAGGAATAGCATTACCTATCACTGTCCTGTGACAACGAAGAGTTGCTGTCCCTTTTACTTGTCACGTGAAAATATTTTCATTACCTATCTAGCTTTAATACTAGCATCTACATGTGAACGGACTGGAATTTTCAAAAATGCTAGTTAATGGGTCTTGGGGAATATTCCCTTTTGATAGCTATATTCTTTTATTACTGGTATAGTTTATCCCCAGTAATATGCAATCAGCTCTTTTTTTCTGTCATTAGTAATACACAAATTTAAATAAAGGGCAGTTTCATGCATGTATGGTAGAGAGAGAGGGCACAAAATCAGCATTGCTTGAGCCAGCTTGTCATCAGCAACCATACACTAATATGAATGTTTTTCAAAGGAGTTTGAGATGCACTTTCCTCCTCCTACTGTTGTAGATCAGATTGCTTCCAAAAGGAGAGGAGACCTGACTTCAACTCCCTAATTCAGGGATGCCATGCATTTTATCTAAAGTTGTATTGCATATCTTGGAGTAGTTTCTACAAATCTTGTAAATTTTTAGCTAAACTCTTCAACAGCTATTACAGATGTCATTCTGAGGTACCTATTTTTTCCCCTGTGTATTAATATAAAAATAATGCAGCATTCTGGATTCCAATCTGAAACTAAGTGCCTAGAAGTTGGGGAAAGAGGGAGCCAGGCTGCAGATCCTTAGCAGAACATGAGCTCCACTGTGATTTGATTTGCTAAATCCAAGTTGCTCAGAATACAGTTTGTGCAGGTCTGTCTGCATACCTCTGTGTACTTCAGTCTAATGAGAAGTTACCATGCCACAGAACCACTGCTGTTCGCAATCTGGTAACTACAGTAACGTAACAGCTGAATTATTCATAGGCCATTTACAAACTAAGTTCTCTGGTACGTTCTTTGACTTAATTTTCTGATTCTTGTTTTTCTGCATTCAGATGCAACCTAACATAGTTATCATATAATACTGTAATGTGATTGTTATTGATTATATGGTTATCATTGTAATATTGAAGACTAACACCATAATTCAGTTCTAACAAAGAGGGAAGTGGATTTTCACGTTTCCTCCAGCTCATTCCTTCTCCACTTTCTAGAGATGACCTTTGGGTTATTATCTTTTAAACACTTAAATTACTATAACTTCTCTGCTATAAGAGAAGCTTCTTAGATAAACATATATTTAAAGTTGTTTTTCTTTAAAAAAGATTTAAGCATGTCAACCCTGTTTCTGCAAATTAGAAAAAATACATCATGGATCAATGTGTCAAGTTAAACGATAATTTACCTCTCACTATAGGTAATTCACAAATGTTTTAAAGAATGTTGAAATACCTATGTTTTTAGGTTCCCCAGCATGAGGATTTTCCTGCAGAGTGGCAACACAAGTTGGGGGAATTCCAAAGGATGCTCATCATTCGCTGCCTGAGACCTGACAAAGTATGTATGAAACTTTCACCTTATTCAAAAAGGTCTGTTCATCTTCAAAACCAAAAGTATTTGCAAGCATGCATTTCATGCGTTGTCTACAACCATTCTACAACAGTTTATCATAAAGGGAAGTAGGAATCAATGAGATTTCAAAAAACCAGCAAGTTTGACATTGTAATGAAAAAAACTTTTTAAAACAGAAGGGTAGGCCTTTTGTTTCTGTTAACTTTCAGTGTACACATCAAAGTCCCCAGAGCTGTCCCTCAAGACTGTCTCACAAACCTTGTGACTTTCCTTTTTCAGTACACTTGCTATTTTTTCTTATGTAACTTTTTTGATGGATGTCCCTATCTATGGTAAATTTTGTCTGATCTAGGAAGATAATGTAATGGTAAGCAGGAA